ACAAACATGCACTCACACACATTTCTGGTCATATTGTACAAAGGGTTTTTTCCACTACTTTTTCATTAATAATTATATTATGCACATTTTCATATCATTAAATTTTTTCATGATCATTAACAATACCATAGTTTCTGATTAGAAAATCAGTACACTTTAATGGTAAAAAATACTGAATAGTATGGGACAAAGAACAACAACAACAAAAAAGCCACTCCTACTTCTCGTCTCTGTCTCTCTCCTTTCCCTTCCCAATCAAACCTGCTGCTGTTTGGTCTGAGGAACACAGGTCAGGGCCCTTCTTCTTCTATACACTTTTTCAAGGGAAAAACCCTAGTCCAATTTCCAGTCAAGAAGCCTTTGTAGTTTTCTAGGGTGCAATTAAAGGATGTTTCTGAAGGTGATGAGCAGAGGAAAGAAGGAAATAAATATGTTGAGTTGTTAGTGGATGCTAAGCAGCATGCTAAGACCTTTTGTTTCATCCAATCCTATACACCTCTAGAAGAAGCAGTTTCTATTTAAAAAAATTTTTTTTCCTTTATTAATTTGAGAGAGAGAGGAAGGAAGAGGGAGAGAGAGATAGAAACATCGATGAGAGAGAACATCGATTGGCTGCCTCCTGCATGCCCCCCACTGGGGATTGGGCCCACAACCTGGGCATGTGCCCTGACCCGGAATCAAACCGGCAACCTCTTGGTACATGGGTCAATGCTCAACCACTGAGCCACACTGGCCGGGCAAAGTAGTTTCTATTTTACACATATTTAAAAATGAGGAAACTGAGGTTCAAACAGGTACCCTGCCCAAAGCCACATCTTTTTTAATGGACAGAGTCTAGTAGTGCCAAGCGGCATCCCTGACTGCTATTATACCTTCCCTGCCTTACTCGATACTTTTCAGTGGGGTAGAGAAAATGGTCCTTTTGGGGGGGGGGGGTGATATTTGTCAATTCCTGCTCAAGAACTTAAGAGTGATGAAATCTCGGTAATCCCACCCAGTTTTTAAAGTCTTTTGCAATCCGTCCTTCTTTTATTTAGTCAGTTTTATTTCCCATCACTCCTTTTTGCACTCTCTCCTTTCCTCAGGCGGATATTCCCATCATTGTTATCCACTACATTAATTTCCAGCTCCATGCTTTCTGTTATCCACTAATCAAGTTGTGTACATCCTTCAAAGCCCAACTTAAGCACCACCTTATTGATTTCTCATCTATTCTAGTCCTCAGTGACAGTAACATTTGATCACCTTACAGCCCTGCTCAAACGTTCAGTGATAACCTTTAACTGCTAAACAAAACCTAGGCTTCTTAGCTGGGTACCCAAGCCAACCATTCAGTCACAAATACAGACTGAGAGCCACTTATGTGCGAGGCACTCTCTAGGTGCTGGGAGAACTGTTGAGAACCAGACAGACAGGTCCCTGCCCTTATGGTAAACAAACTGGGCATTAAGTCATTACAAATAATCAATTAAATAATTATTAGTGTGAGTCAAGTGATTACAAGGCCCTCTACAATCTGGTCTCAATCCATCTTTCAGAGTTCTTGTCATCCTTTTATTCCATCCAGATGGGCTTACTCAAGCTTTCCCACCTCTGCGGCTGTGCCCAAACCCTCCCTCCTTTCCAGAACACAGGTTCTTCCACCCTGTACCCCTCCAGGACCTGCTCTGGTTCTGCTTCTTTCATGAAACCCTGCCAGACGAATTTAGCCTGACGAATCTTCCCTCATTTGAATTCCTATGACTTACCCATCCAACAAATATTTACTGAATGACTTCTTGGAATGTTTGATGAATGCCTCTTCATGAGGTTGTAAACACATGCTATGGTATTAAAGATTTAAATTATAAAGTGAGTTAGACTTTTCCTACTGAGAGGAATCAAGAATTTTTTTCCTTTCTCCTCTGGATGGGGGAGAAGTGAAGAGCCACAAAACTATATAGCAACACGTACACAATTACTGATAAGCAAAATGACAACAAAAATTGCCCAATTACTCATAATCCTACTACTTGAAAGAAGGCCACCACTGACAATTTTCTCTGTATCTTTCCAGTGGTTTCCTTTTTCTGTTTTTCTCTCTGTATGTCTACACCATTTTGTAAAATTCCTTTTTCTTCCAAAAGAAATTTGTACCAAGAAAACCTTTTTTCTTATGGTCTTTTTAAAAACACAAAGTACCTCTATCCCCATTATCCTGATCTCTTCTGCTTGGGGATGGAACAGTTTGTTTTAAACAAAACCTAGAGAATTGACTCAAAGACGCATCCACATTTTTTCCAGTTCACTGATCCCGTGTACAAGAAGAATCTGAACATTGTTTTAGAGCATCAACTCAGAAGTCTCTTCTCAAGACTTGTTCTGGACACTCTTCAGGACAGCACACAAACTTCTCTTCTTCAAGTCCTCAGATGTGTGGGTATACAGTGTAGCCATAATCCCATGCAAACCACAGAAGGTGGTGCCTACAAGAACACAGGAGAGCCCGGCTGGTGTGGCTCAGTGGTTGAGCGTCGACCCATGCACCAATAGGTCGCTGGTTCAATTCCTGGTCAGGGCACATGCCCAGGTTGTGGGCCAAATCCCTAATAGAGGACATGCAGGAGGCAGCCAATCAATGTTCTCTCTCATTGATGTTTCTTTCTTTTTAATTTATTTCTGTTACAGATGTTTCTCCTTTTTTCCCCATTGACACCCTCCTCCCCATCCTTCCCAAACCTGTCCCCAGATTTTGTTGTCCATGTCCATCGGTTATATGTACATGCATATAGGTTTTGTGGTTTATCTCTCCCACCCACCCCCTCTTCTGAGGATTGTCAGTCTGTACCCTACTTTCATGTCTCTGGGTCTACCCTGTTCTTCAGACGGTTATGTTCATTATATTTCACAAATAAGTGAGATCATGTGATATTTGTCTTTCTCTGCTTGGCTTGTTTTGCTTAGGATAATACTCTCCAGGTCCCTCCATGTTGTCTCAAAGGATAAGATATGCAGTTTCTTTCTTACAACTGCATAGTATGCCATTGTGTATGTACCACAGCTTTTTTATCCATTTGTCTACTGATGGACACTTGGGCTGTTTCCAGATCTTAGCTATTATAAATAGTGCTGTTACGAACACGGGAGTACGTATATTCTTCCTGATTGGTGTTTCAGGCTTCTTAGAGTATATTTCTAGAAGTGGGATCACTGGGTCAAATGGCAATTCAATTTTTAATTTTCTGAGGTAACAGCCTAGTGTTTTCCATAGTGGCTGCACCAGTCTGCATTCCCACCAGCAGTGTACTAGAGTCCCCTTTTCTCCACACCCTCGCCAACACTTGTTTGATGATTTGTTGATGGCGGCCATTCTAACAGGTGTGAGGTGATACCTTCTCATTGATGTTTCTATCTCTCTCTCCCTCTCCCTTCTTCTCTCTCTAAAATCAATAAACACACACACACACACACACGAGATCCCCCAGTCCACCCCCTCACTTTATGGATGAGCACACTGCACTAAAACGTTAAGTACTTTGCCAAGATCACGCAGCTGCTGGTGGAGGAGCCAAAGATGCCAGCCCTGCTTATCTTTCCAAATGACCCCGCTGCCTCCAGTTTGTCCAACAATTAACCCCAAACTAAAATTAAACAAAAAATACTCAGTGAAGCACTAACTCTTGCTAAATAAATTGTATCTATCCTTACCACTAAAGGGGAAAGATAAGGCAGTTTGGTAAAGATTGGGCTGATCTTTCAGCATTGAGTGGTTTTGAAACACCAGAAAACCTCACTGGAAATCTTCATTGCTATGATAGGATTAAAGCACAGAAGAAATAGTAGGGACCACCTATCTCATTCTTTCTTAATGTTTGGAAGGATAACAAAAGGATGTAGAAAATGGTCAGCCCTTGATCATGAACTGCAGCATTATCTTGTACGCTTGTTTGTACATTCTACTTAGGTGGTTCTTCTTCTTCTTCGTTTACTTTGGTTCTTAACCTGATTTTTACATAGGTTGCCATGACCGGATATGCAGTTCACCCAGGTTGAACGAAACCCGCTTTTGTCAAAACGTTGTCTCTGAAGAGAGATCCAGCTGACTTCGCCATAGTTTTTCCAGCCTGTTTGAAGCCCTGTAAGGGGGTGTCTCGAATTTCTGAATTCTGAAACACCACTGTATTGGAATCTCTTCTTACAGCAACCCAGGAAAAGGAGGGCTGTGTACACTCTTCATAAAGGCGAGAACTGTAGTTTTAAGACTTTTTCTAAAGAACATTCTAATGGGCCTGCGGGCCTTAAATAAGAAATGAAAGGTTACGGAGATGGGGTGGAGCTGATCCACCTAGTTAGCCCAGGGCAAAGGCAGATCCAAGAGGGGAGAATCCGACTGTAAGAGGGAGATGGAGAAGAAAAAGCTCTCCCAGGCGGCGCAATCCAGCTCCCTTCTCCTCTGCTCACTTTAAAAAGCTCACTGCAGGACGAAAAACACCAGTGCTGCCCAACAGAGCCCCTACCCATCCACCGCAAACAAAGGGACCGGCCTCCTTCCAGCCTTTTTGGTCTGAATGAAGAATGAGTTTTACCTTTCAGGATCCACCCATTCCTCCTGGTACCCAATGAGGCCGCAGCCTCCTCCAGCAGGAGGTGTTGAACTCTCCCAGGAAATGGACAGGTATTTCGGGCCAATGGTTGGAGCTGCTGCGGGCCAATGGGAGAGAGAACTGCGTGACCTGGGGTTAGAGAATGAGAGAGCCCGCAAAAGAGGGCGGGAACGAGGGGGCGGACCACGTAGGCGCGGGGGGTGGAGAGGGCGGGCCCGGTGGCTGGCGGGGGTGCTCCAACCGCGGTGGGGGTAACCTGCGGACTGGTCGGCGGTGGCCAATAGGAAGGCGGGTTGGCGCAAGGGTGGGCCTGGGTGCCGGGAAGCTCCGCCCCTTTGGAGCCGCAGGGCTGGGGCGGAGCCAGGTCTGCGTCAGGTGGTCCTGGACCGGCTGGCGGCTCTGGGGGCGGGGTGCCGCGCGGAGAGGGGAGCGGCCGCTGGCTGGCGGCGGCGGGCACCGGCTGCGAGAGCAGGTAGCTGCGACCGAGGTGGCCAGGCCGTCCCCAGGGGGCGAGCGCACAGGCGGGGGCTCTGGCCCGCCGCGCCCCCATGCTGCGGTGAGCGCTCGCGCTCGTTGCACTTGCCGCGCCAGCCCCAGGCAGCCAGCTCTCTCCGCCCAGCCAGCCCGGGCCCTACCTGCGGCCGCCGTCGGGGGAGGGGGTCCCCCCAGCTCTGCGGAGCCGCATGAACAATAGGCAGCGGCGGCTCCTGCGGGCGGCGGCGGCCCCACACCCTATGGATCGGCCGCTCCATGGAGCCCTCCAGAGCGCTTCTCGGCTGCCTAGCGAGCGCCGCCGCTGCCGCCCCGCCGGGGGAGGATGGCGCGGGGGCCGGGGCCGAGGAGGAGGAGGAAGAGGAGGAGGAGGCGGCGGCGGCCCCCGGGGAACTGGGCTCCGACGCGCCGCTGCCCTACTGGACCGCCGTGTTCGAGTACGAGGCGGCGGGCGAGGACGAACTGACCCTGCGGCTGGGCGACGTGGTGGAGGTGCTGTCCAAAGACTCGCAGGTGTCCGGCGACGAGGGCTGGTGGACCGGGCAGCTGAACCAGCGGGTGGGCATCTTCCCCAGCAACTACGTGACCCCGCGCAGCGCCTTCTCCAGCCGCTGCCAGCCGGGCGGCGAGGACCCCAGTTGCTACCCGCCCATTCAGTGTAAGGCGAAGGCGGGGCCCGGGACCCCGGCGGGGAGGAAGCAATGATGGAGCCCTGGGGGTAGTCGCGGGGAGATGGGAGCCCTTCTTGAGGGTTAGGTTGAGGATGGGGGGCCTTGGTTGGCCTGGGGGTGGGGCTGTGCGCGGGTGCTCGGGCCGCAGGGGCTTCGGTGGGCGCTATGTGTACGAGAGACGCCGCAGGCCTTGGCTGGAACCTCAGGCGCTTGGGCTTCTCAACCTTCATCTGACCACTTGAGCAGCAACTCCTGATTCCACTTCCTGAAGCCTCAGCATGAAAATCTCTCTATTTCCCAGTCCCCTGCTGCCCTCCCACCCCCAAATTCTAGAAGGATTTCACGCAAGCTGGTGGTTTCTGTGGTAACCCTAGTTCCCAAGTCTGGGACCTCTCGGCCCCTTCTATCGTCTGTCCCCACCCCTTAAAGGCATTTGCTTTGAAGGAGTTGGGGGTTGTCTCCCGCAGGGCTGGGCTGGCTCACAAGTCCCGGAAGCCTCTGTGAACTCAAAGCTGAAGTGTCTTTGAAATGTCGTGTTGATTTCTTGGATGCTAATCTTGTAACTCAGAAGTTGTATCTTCAGGAGTCTCACTGAATAATGTGCTGAGAAGGGTGTGTGTTGTGTGGAGGGGCAAGTGATTGGTGGAGAAATGATCAGAGAGACAAAAGTAAGTCATTCTCCCATGAGAGATCAGGTCAGGGAACAGTGGCTAAATCCTAGTCCCTTGACACCCAGGATGTTAAAACATGCATTTTTTTTCTTCTTCTTTCTTCTCACTCTAGATCCTTGCCTATATTTGGAATTTGCTAAATCTCAGGGGGACCATGCCCATAGGCCCCTCCCAGGGCTTTTCTTCCAGTGTCCTGGTTTTTACCAATTCCCGGGAGTCCCCTGCTCCACACCCTATAATGAAATTTTGTTTTTGTTTTTACCCACAAAGGATTTAAGTTGATTAAAATTTCTTTATCAATGATGCTACATGGTTTTAGCAGACAGATGTAGATATCTCCAGGTACAATTTACACTATTTTGTATTTGAGGGCTTCCATAATTTCTTTTCTGTTAAAAAAGTATTACTAATACATATTTATCATTCTTTGTTCCACGCTTTGTACACTTTTCATTCTAGCTGATTTAAAAAAATCATCGCCAATGGCCAACTTTAAACATTTAGTTTTAAAATTTCATTCATGACAGTTATCTTCTGTCCCTATAACTTATTTTCAACTGAACAATTGTGTTATTATCTTAAGATATTTATTAAATACTATCACATAATATCAAAATCGTAATTTCTTATCCTGTTTTTCTGCTCTTTTTTTGTTGTTTTGACTGTCAAAACAACAGTCAAATCTTGAGTTCTCTTTGTTTCTCTCTCCCTCATTCAATTAAAAACTTCCTGTTTCTATATTTGATAGTACTTGGAGGCAACAGATTACTTTAAGTTGTTTCTAGGTGTTCTATCTTTTTGGCACTAGTACTGGGAAGGTGAAGGCTACGAGTCCCAGCATAGTGTCTGAAATATGAACTTGTTGAAGATGAACTTGGTCACACATTGGAAGAAATATTGTAAGAATGGCCTGGTGTGTTAGAAAACAGGGTTGTTTTAAACATAAGTCAGATTTTGAGATTCTCGGTGGATGAAGTTTGTGATTTTTTTTTCAGGGACAGCTAATGTCAGAGCAGAAGAGCTGTGTGAGGCTCATGAGCAGGAACTCAGTTTCTTCCTGTCTTGTGCTCCCTGTCATCAGAGCAGTCAGGAGTGAATGTGATTGGGCTGGAAGAACTCATCCCCCGAAAACCAGACCTGTCCAGTGTGCTACAGTAGAAGCTCCTTCTTCTTTAGGTGCCCAGGATTTATTCTTTATTGTAACAAAAGTTACCTTCCGTAGTGTAGATTCCTATATATAGAACTCAGATGATGAGAAAGTAGGAAGTACCTTGTGCTTATTGAAAGAATTGACTTGAAGAATATGGCATTTGAAGGTTCTCGTAAGTTATTTTATTTAACGTCACCCAGGAATTCTGATCGTGATTTGAGTTAATTCTTGATAATTCAGAAAATGTAATCCCAGTCAAAAACCAATTAGAGAGCCTAGTGAAGAATGGACACTATGTTAAATAGCCAGTGATAAAGAAATGATAAGATAAGGAGGTTTATAAATCACACAGGAGGGAGATTGTAATTTTAGTACACTGCTTTGCTAAAGATGAACATGGGAAGTTGCTGACAGGTGTGCTTCGTACCTGTATGCTGCTACCCACCAGTTCAGGTACTGTCACTCAGAAATGAAAGGTGATTGACAACCTTTCTCCAAATAGTTGGAATGATGTTGAACCAGTGACAACTTTTCCCCAGTCATCCTTTTGAACTTCCCATCTGGGGCATGAATTGTGACATTAGATTGTGAATAGAAGACACTAAGTAACAATGATCTGTTTTAGTTTTAAATATTGCTTTCAAACTGTTTCAAACTTTATTCAAAACAAGGGGGGCGGATTACTGAATCTTATGACAAAGAAAAAATATAATATTGATATTATAAATCAGCTAACATTCATATAGTACTCTATCCCCTCCAATATAGATATTAGAGTATAGCTCTCCATGGAGCTGACAAATAAAAATTATCCAGGAGCTCTCTCATCTTCCTTATTTTAGTAAAAGATGAAAAATGTAGTTCCAGATTTATCATCTAGAGAGATATGTAGGTATTAAAACAAGTTTCTCGTCCTGGCCCGTTTGGCTCAGCGGTAGAGCGTCAGCCTGCAGTCCAGGGAGGCCCGGGTTCGGTTCCCGCTAAGGGCATGTATCTCAGTCGCAGTTTGTCCCTGGCCCTGGTTGGGTGGTGTGGGTGGCAGCCACTCGATGTGTCCCTTTCACATCAATGTTTCTCTCTCTCTCTCTCTCCCTCCCCACTCTATCTGAACAAAAAATGGAAAAGTGTCCTTGGGTGAGGATAAAAAAAAAAAAAAAAAACAACACAAAAGTTTCTCCCTGGCCGGTTTGGCTCAGGCCGGTTTGGCTCAGTGGTTAGAGCACCATCCCACGGACCAATGAGTCACAGGTTCGATTCCAGTCAAGGGCATGTACTTCGGTTGTAGTTTGTCCCCGGCCAGGACCAGTGAGTTGCGGGTTCGATTCTGTCAAGGGCATGTACCTCAGTTCCCCAGCCCTGGTCTGGTTGTGCAGGAGGCAACTAGTCAATGTGGCTCTATCACATCGATGTTTCTCTCTTTCTCTCTCCTTCCCACTCTGTCTGAAGATGAATGTAAAAAATATCCTTGGGTGAGGATTAAAAAAAGCAACAAGTTTCTCCTATAGGAAAGTTGTGTCTTCTTTTAAGCAAGGCATAAATTAAGGTTATTACTAATTTACTTTTTGTTTTTCTTGCACCCACTAGAAATCTTAAGGATGCATTTTCACATGTATTTAAGATTTTTTTTAATATATTTTTTTATCCTTACCCGAGGACATTTTTCCATTTTTTGTTCAGATAGAGTGGGAGGGAGAGAGAGGAAGAGAGAGAAACATCGATGTGAAAGGGACACATCGAGTGGTTGCCACCCACACGACCCATCCAGGGCTGGGGACAAACTGCAACTGAGGTACGCGCCCTTAGTGGGAACTGAGGCTCTAACCACTGAGCCAAACCCGCCAGGGTACATGTACTTAAGATTTTTAAATGAGTGAGATATGTACCATTCACTCGCCAAAACTCACTAGAATGTACCTATATATTTCATTACAAGGATACAGTTGAGGGTGGATAACATCTTGATTCTGAAAATGAAAGAATAAGATTCTGTTCCTGATATTCTTGGAAATGTCCTTCCCCAGAAACTGAAAAAATGTGATGAATGTGCCCTGGCCGGTTTGGCTCAGTGGTTAGAGCATCACCCTACGGTCCAGAGAGACCCGGGTTTGGTTCCCACTAAGGGCATGTACCTCGGTTTCAGTTTGTCCCCCGCCTTGGTTGGTTGTGCAGGTGGCAGCCACTCAGTGTGTCCCTTTCACGTCGATGTTTCTCTCTCTCTCTCTCCCTCCCACTCTACCTGAAAAAAAAATGAAAAAATGTCCTCGGGTGAGGATAAAAAAAATATGTGATGAATGTGACTTGACCTGATTCTTACTTAAAATCAGGTCTTGACTGGAGCAGGGAAGGGAAGGAGAGCCCCGTATTCTCTGAGCTACAACTAAAGGTTTAGTTCTTACTCCAAGGGACTTCTTAACAGGGAAGGGAAAAGAAAGTACCCTCCTCCCTTGCCCCTTTCTTCTATCCACTTGTAAGCTGTGTTCTATATTTTTCTTGAAGTCTGGTCATAATATTTTCTTAACTAAGTAGCAGGAACCTGGAAGTTCCACCCAGAGCAAGGTTACTGCTCCGCCCTCCCCGCAGAGGTTTTCTGTCCTCTGCAGAATGCCACTATAGGAGCTGTCCTTTCAGCACCCATGGTTCAGAGTTCCATCTTTTAAATTCTCATACATTTTAATAAATATTTAACACCTCCTGTGTGTTCACAACTATGCTTCAGACGGGAGGGAAGAAGGCAGGAATAAGAGAAAACACAACAGTTCATTCCCTTAGGGACAGTTCAGATATTCGGCTGAAGAAATAAGATGTGTAAATACAAATTTGTTAAATAGGCACATATCTTTTCATCATTGTTAAAAGTTGTTAGGAAAAAAAAAAAAAGAACTTTCCTTCCCTCCATGGTCCAGGAGACTGCTAACATAACTTAGATATTTCTCCAAGAGGGTTTCTACTCTCTCTTTAACATAGGCATATTTTTTCTCATTCCTATAGACGAGATAAATCAGTAATTAGTAATGTCAGGTTTCAGTTTAGGACCTAGAACCACTCAAGCTATTTTTTTTTTTTTTATCCTCACCCGAGGACATTTTTCCATTTTTTGTTCAGGTAGAGTGGGAGGGAGAGAGAGGAACAGAGAGAGGGAGAGAAACATCGATGTGAAAGGAACACATCGAGTGGCTGCCACCCGCACAACCGACCAGGGCCGGGGACAAACTGCAACCGAGGTACGTGCCCTTAGCGGGAACCGAACCCGGGTCTCTCAGGACCGCAGGCCGACACTCTAACCGCTGAACCAAACAGGCCAGGGCCACTCAAGCTATTTTAAGCAGAAAGTGCTCTAGCATAGGAAATTCGGAGCTTACAGAATTACTGGAAGGGTAGGGAGAAGGGACTCTCAGGTGGACCAATGGGAGAACCCTCAGAACATCGCAGACCTGGCCCACCAGGCTAGCTGCTACTTCACTAACTGGGAAGGTTACAGACTCAGGTGTTGTCACTGAAGCTGTCGACTTCAAGAATACCCGGTGGTTGTTGCAGTCCAAGATTAGGCAACCACTTGGCCTTGAACATGCCTCTCCACATCCACAGAGCTAATGATTGGACACTGACATGCTGCTGCAGAAACACCCCCCCCTCTTCACAGCCGTGCTTACCAGAAGCAGCAGCAAGAAGCTGCTCTCCATCTCACTTCTGCATCCAGAACTCCAGCTGTCGGGGGGTCTGGGAAATGTAGTTTTCAGCTTTCTGGCCCCTGTAGTACTGAAGGGCATGCCAGAAGGATTTTGGAAGGGATGCTGATTGCTAGTCTGCAGGATGTCCCACACCCTCTAGTCTCCAGGAAGGGTGCTTGATGAGGCGATAAGCATGATGGCTTGAAAGTTTTGAAGTCAAGATGGGCTGTACTTTTTATATACTTTAAGACAGTCCAACTAACTTTTCTTGCGTGTCCTTTGTGTAGAGTGCCAGTTGCATTACAAAATACAAATGAATATCAGCCTTAGATGGGATAGAAACACTATAATTGAGCAAGAACAGAGTGTGGAGCACCACCAGCATCTGAGTGGAGGGTGGTGGCACCATGGGGCTGGCTGTGGAGGGAAGCAGTGGGCAGTTCCTCTTTTGGTTTTGCCAAAAGTTCAGAAATATATTTTTGTTTTCTTAGTTTTTCAGCAAGGTTTTTGGTTTTGGTTTTTGTTTGTTTGGTGTGTGTGTTTAGCCAAAATACAGACTATTCTCTGTATTTGTTTTAGGAGTCCAATTTAATTTTTTCTTTCAGATCTAAGTTTGGTTTATTTCCTATGGAGGTATATCTCCACCACCACCCATTTTACTTCACCTACTAAATATTCAGCATGATGAGTATGGTGGTGAATAAGGCAGACAGAATCCACCCATGTGGATCTCCCAATCTAGCAGGACAACAGGCATTGAACAAGTCATTGTAACCGTGTTGAGTCTTGCCAAATAGACACTGCTATGGAATTGTTTGATGGTGCCCTGACCTCACTTAGATGGGGGTTAGGAAAAGTTCCTCTAGTAAGTTGATGTTTAAGCTGAGACCTGAGAGATGAGTGTGAGTAAGCCAGGTAAAGGCAATGACACCGAGAAGATGAGAGAACAGGGTTTTCATGAGAAAAACATATAATAGCACAAGATTTATGTGTTAGTTACTGAGGATAATGCCGCAGATATAAGTTAATCACATTTCCTGCCCTTACGGAGTTGACCTTCTAGTGGGAAGACAAAAGCCAAATGAACAGACAACTTGCTGTGTTTACCCATCCGGGTAAGTGGGTGGTTAAAGGGTGTTTTCAGAACGTTTTTTGAATCTGCTTTCTTTCCCCTTTCTTTCTCAGTGTTAGAGATTGATTTTGCGGAGCTAACCCTGGAAGAGATTATTGGCATCGGGGGCTTTGGGAAGGTCTATCGAGCTTTCTGGATAGGGGACGAAGTCGCCGTGAAAGCAGCCCGCCACGATCCTGACGAGGACATCAGCCAGACCATAGAGAACGTTCGCCAGGAGGCCAAGCTCTTCGCCATGCTGAAGCACCCCAACATCATTGCTCTGAGGGGAGTGTGTCTGAAGGAACCCAACCTCTGCTTGGTCATGGAGTTTGCTCGCGGCGGGCCTTTGAATAGAGTGTTATCTGGGAAGAGGATTCCCCCGGACATCCTGGTTAACTGGGCCGTGCAGATTGCCAGAGGGATGAACTACTTACACGATGGGGCGATTGTCCCCATCATCCACCGTGACCTTAAGTCCAGCAACAGTGAGTATGAAGGGGTGGGGCCGTCGGGCTTAAGAGCACATTTAGACCCAGTCCATGGCTTCAGGTGGAGTGGGTTCCTAAAGGAGGCTTAGTGGGTAATGGAACTCCTGCTTAAAGCCATTCCATCCTTGAGTGGAGATGCAGGGCCAGAAGGAGTGCCAGGAAAATGGGTTTAGGGGGAAAGAATTAGGCACCTGGGGGTTTGGGATAATTCTGAGCTCACATTTCCGCAGGCAGGTTTGGCGACATATAATTCTGATGTATTGTGCAAAAACAACGACGTAGATTTATTTTTCCACTTGAGGGAGGTGAGTCTAATCACAAAAGAGGTTTTCCTCTTTCGTGGAACATCAGGTAAAGCAAACCTATACCACCTGTTTGCATTTCTGCCTAAACCCCCAACTTGAGGCATCCAGCAGAGAATGGGCTCTAAGGACAGAGGCTTGTTTAAGCCCTGAGGCGGTTCAGATGACAGCGTCAACTTAGAGAGCAGGACCTGGCTGGTAGGATTACAGACCTCCTGATAGCCTAGGGGTAGTGTTAATTAATTGTCATAACTACCTACTGTTTAATAGCAGGGAACTGAGAAGTAACTGTTTATTAAACATCCAGAATCCATAAACTGGATTGTAAAGCAAGTGTGAGACATAATTAAATGGTGAGTTGATGGACATTTCAGTCTCTTTCCTTGGCCGAATCAGCAGGCACTGGGAATACGCTTTTTTTTTGGTGTGGTCATTTGTGTTCTCTCTTCCGTAAACTGTGTGGTAAAGAGGATTCAGTTTGCTAAATGGTATGTGCTATAGGTCACTGTGCGCCCTCTCCAGCGAGGAGCGTGTTAGGACTTTGTGGGTCATGTGGGCCCAGGAAGTTCACTCTCTGTATCCTTCAGCTTTGAGCCCAGAGATCCTTCGAGCTTTGTTTTGTTCTGGGCTGTTCCAGCTGTGGCTTACTTTCTCGTTGATGCGATTGTGAATCTGTTTAAGGAAATGCGTTGTAAAATTCTGGTAGTAGCCCTGGCCGGTTTGGCTCAGCGGTTGCAGCATTGGCCTGCGGACCAGAGAGTCCCGGGTTCAGTTCCCGCTGGGGGCACATATCAAAATAAATAAATAAATAAAATAAAAACTATTTAAAAAAATAAATAAATAAAATTCTGTTAGTAGTGTTTTTGTTGTATAAAAATTAGAAAGTGTAGATGAACTAAAAGAAAAGAAATATAATTCATAATGTTTTCCTTTAGGGAGTATAACTGTTACATTTGGCAATTCCTTCCAGACATTTTTAGAGCATATATGGTGTATGTATATATACACATGCACTTGCCAATTTTTCCAGTTTACTTTAAGTAGCCTATACTACTTTACCTCCTCCACCTCTACCTTCTTCCCCTTTAATAATAGAAAATTTATTCTTGAGAGGGTGTGGACATTAGGTTTGTTTTTTAGATATAATGTATGTCTATAAAATAAAATTTGGTTTCTCCTTTACTTCTGCCATTATTCTTTCTCTTTACCATATGATTATTCTCATATGGGCCTCCAAAAATCTGTTCTGTTAATGTATTAAGTAAATTAAAACTTTTGGTGACCTCTTTTCAAAGTAATTTCTACCTAGAGACTGCTTTGGATGATGGGGTAAGAATAAGCAGATGTGTTGGTACAAAATATGATATAGAAGCTGCATTGTCTTTATTTTATTTTTTCTTATTATCCTTATCATGCTGGGAGACAAGTTGAGGTTAAGCAAAGTACTTTAACCGGACATAATTGAACCCATTTAAAAACTTGGGCTAGGATGATGGAATTGTGAAAGTTAATAATTTCCTCTCTGAAATTTTAAATTTGGGTGTAATTTCAAGCTAAATATAAAGTTTTACCTTTTATGAGATTTGTGTTTTTTGTTTTTTTTTATCCTCACCCGAGGACATTTTTGCATTTATCTTCAGACAGAGCAGGAGGGAGAGAGAGAGAGAAACATCAATGTGAGAGAGACACATTGACTGGTTGCCACCCACATGACCCCAACTGGGTCAGGGACAAACTGCAGCAGAGGTAACATGCCCTTAGCCGGAATCGAACCTGGGACTCTCTGGTCCGCGGGCCGACACTGTAACCACTGAGCCAAACCGGCCAGGGCGTGAGATTTGTGTTTGAAAGTCTAGGTCCTGTGAAGGAAAAGCTACCTCATCAAGGTTCTGCTGTTTGTAGGAGATGGCGACAGACCTGACTGTCATTCCGTCATCCAGGAGACAAACCCTGGTCCTTTCTTTGTCCTTAAGTGAGCTCTGGGATTGCCAAGGGGGAGCCTTCAGGTCAGTGGATGGTGGCACGTGTGGGGCTTGCACACAGCGCAGTGTCTTAAAGGACCTCGTCAAGATCACTGATGTCCAGAAGTGTGTAAGGTCCACTGGGCTGCATAGTTGGTGTTGATGTTAATGCCGGCTATAGATCTCACATGTGAGGTGGGGTACCTCCTTGGCATTTGTCTGTGATGGCTGTTTGCCTGGGATTGTATACAGTATATCCAACGTGAACCTTGATGATACTGTTGTTCTTATTTCATTGCTGTCATGTGACTTGGAAATAATTTTGCCTCCAGTTGGAGGTCATAACTTCTTTGTGCCTTTGTAGACCTGGGGGTACTGGCCTGTCTCCCTTGGCTGTTATTAGGGGTTCCAGAGAGTTGGATTTTGGTTGCTGTCATGTGAGGGCAGAATTCTATGAATCACATGTATTAGTTGACTTTGAATCTCTAGAGAAAAGGGTACACATATATGGGGGATGTATTTGTTGGAATAAAAGGTAATTGGCGATAAACATCTAACTTACAAAAGGTTCAGTAAAAAAAAGTGATTTATTAAAATGTTTTATCATCCTGGTCACCTACTTTAAAAAGTATACACTGTTCAGTGGCAGTAAAATGTGTAAACATACAGTATCCTATGTTGTTGTATAATCTGCAATAAGGTTAGGTTTGACTCTACATAACCTAAAAAAAAAAAAAAACACACACACACAAACAAGATAACAGTAGCTAAAATAAGGTATACATTCATTTGTCTTTGAAAAGAAGTCTGGAGGATTTCAGGACATCTGCACAGTGTCATCAGGGACTGGGCTCCTCTTTTTCACTCCATCACCCCAGTACATGACCTGTATTCTCAGGGGCCGCCTTACAGTCCAAGATGCTATTATTTGGTCTAAGTCACAAGCCTGGAGGAGGGGGAAAGTAGAAGCACAGAAGCTGTCTCCCATTAGCCTCCCAGAAGTCCAGCACAACACATCTGCGTGCGTTAGTTGGTCAGAAGGAAATCACATAACCATGGCTAGTACAGGAGAGGCTGGGAGATGGAGGGTTTTATTCTGGGTACAGTGGGTGCAGCTAGTGATCAGGGTCTGTTACCAAGGAAGAGAGGGAGCATGGCGGGAGAGGGAAACAGTCTTACTGTGGAATCGCAGTGTGGGACATGCATTGGGAAGAACCGTTATCTCGGATATTAGCATCATGCACTCAAACAAGGTTAGCCAGGCCCTGGGAGGTGTGGCTCAGACCCCTGATTTTGCTACTGGTTTTTACTACTTGGCCACATTGCATCATTAACTTAAACATCACTACTTGTAAAAGCACTGGCTATAAAAATGGATTTATGTGTCTGCACCGTCAGACTGGGGGAAAGCTAATTGTTAGCAACAGTGTTAGTGAAAGATAGTCTTTTAGAGGAAAGATTGTCCTTTTGGGGGTTAGTGGATGGATGTCAGGGTTTTGACTTAACAGGCATTTGGCAGGATAACAGTTTAAGTGTCCCTTAAAAGTTAAATTAGTGTAAATTAGTGTAAAAATGAGATCATATGAAAAAGTTTTGGAAAATGGAAAGCCTTACCCAAAGTGAAGGGAGTGTTATTTTATTTTATTATTAAATAACTTATTTCCTCCTCTTAGGAAACAGGAAAAACATAAAAGCAATATGTTTTTCCAATTTTTGCATTTATGCATATTTGTTTTCACTCCCAAATCATGCACAGAAAACCTTTTTGTTTGTTTATTTTTAATGGTTTATTGATTTTTAGAGAGAGAGAAAGAGAAAGGGGGAGAGAGAGAATCATCCATGTGAATGTGAATGCAATATCAATCGACTGCCTCCTACATGCCCCCTACCAAGGATGGAGCTGCAACCCTGACCAGGAATTGAACTGGCAACCTTTCTGTGCACGGGACGATGCCCAACCAACTGACCCACACCAGCCAGGGCTGCATAGGAAATCTTAATAAATATTGCTTGTGACATGCTTTCCCCTCCCCCACTTGTCAGTGTATTGTGGCCACTTTCTCACGTAAGTAAATATTCTTTACCACCAGATATTTAAAGGTGGCACAGTATTCCACTATTTAGATATACTATACTGTATTAACTAAGTCGAATCCCTGTATAATAATAATATTAATAACAACTATTAATGCTTCATGCTTATTGAGTGCTCGCTTTAAGTCAGGCACTAAGCATTTTATGTGGATTCTCATTTAATTCTCACAGCAACCCTACAGGGTAAAGACTGAGTGTCTACTTTACAGATGAGGAAATTGAGGCTCAGAAGGAGTCAGCCATTTCTCTAGAGTCTCACTGCCAGCCCTAAGACCAGGCTTTGTGCCCAGCTCTGACTCCTCAGCTTGTGTTCCTGATCTCTCCCGTTGTTGGCACACTGCTGTTGGGCAGCTGGTTGTCTAACTGCATTATTTCTTGTAGCCCTATAGTAGAAGTTTTATACAATTAGAAGTGATAATTGCTCTGCTCACAGAGCCATAGCATCCACATTTCATTCATGTATTACCACCATCTTATTTTTTTTGAATAACAGTTTTGTTTTATTATTACTGTTTTTATTGATTTTAGAGAGAGAGAGAGAAACATTGATGCATGAGAGAAACATCGAATCGGTTGCCCCCCATATGCTCCGACCAGGGATAGGCCTTGCAACCTAGGTATGTGCCCTGACCGGGAATCG